CCGTTAGCTGCACGGGGCACCGGCCACGGCTGCAGGACAGGGCTGTGCCTCTGGCCGTGCTGAACGTTACCTCCGCGCAGCGGGGGAGGCATTCCTCGCTGCTCGCGTGGGGGCATCCCGCCTCGCATGCTGTTCATCGGGCCCTTCTTCCGTGCGAGGGTAACTTTGAGCTTGCTCCCCTGGAAATCCTTCCCTAGGAGAAATACAAGGGCAAGAGCATCACTCTCTGCCACGAGTTTACACTGCTCACCAGATCCTGGGATCGCACGCGACTGCACCGAGTCAGCAGCAGCAGGGGAAGTTTTTATCTGAGCGCCAAAGACAGCACAAGGGCACAAATTCCACCCGTGGGACTGCGACAGGCCCTGGCCACAGGAGGCAACAGGCCGGGGCAGCTGAGGCCAACCACAACCCAAGCACCGCCCTTCTCTCTTCCAGGTAAAACCAGGAACTTCTTAGGCAAAAGCCTGACCACCTAGAGGTAGCCTAAAATGACTACCATCCTCCACAGGCTGAGGACGGAAATGCTGACTTCTATCGGACAAGAATTCAGTTCCAAAATCTAGACCAAAGGGATTCTACCCCAAAACACTCCCCCCATACTCACCATCAAACCATTCAACAGCTGTTTTGGCAGTAGACGGGTCATCGTAAGATACCGTGGCATCTCCTTTGGGTTTGCCCGTTTCTTTGTCAATGTAGAGGTTTATCATAGGCTGCCCGGTCCTCTTGTTCATCTAACAGGACAGCAAAACGTCACCTCAAGTCACATCTCCCTGTAAGCTGAGTGGGGATTTACTCTCCTTTGTTCTGCTTCTGACTCGAGACAACTGCGCTTCATTCTGGCGACTCCGTGGCAGAAGAAAGGGCCCCTCTGGCTTACCAGGGGCAGCAGCTACTCTGCCCGGACAACCTCTGCTCTCCCCACCACCCCGAGCCCTCACGCTGTCACACACGGTGCTTCTGCGAGTCTAATCACGCCGCCGAGGGAGAAATTTTGTGTTGGGGAAAGCTTGAGCCAGGCCGTGGCCACCCGTGGCCCATCCAGCCAGCTCCTGGAAACGAAGGGCTGAGACGAGCAACGTGCAGGCGGGGAGGAGGCGGGCAATCCCTTTCCCCCACACCTCCCTCTCACCTTGACAACACCGCATTGTTTGAAGAAATCTGCCAGATCCTCCAGGGTCACGTTATCACTGAGTCCCTGCACATAAACTGAACTGTTGTCCGAGTCCTCATCTGGGTCCATAGGTGGGCCTAGGAGATAATTCACGGTGTCATTGCAGGGAGAGGAACGGCAGCGATACAACCCGATGGAGTACTTTTCATGACGTCATCCCCTCAGCCAGCTGCGGCTTTGCTCTCAACGAGCGGATTTACGAAGCGACCCGAAAACCCGGGCATCGAGAGCGGCGACGCTCCGCCACCTCCTCCAGGCAGGCGG